GGCTAAATGTCAGTTTATCACTGCTGTACGTGTTGCTAGCGCGATCTGAATTTGTAGGAAAAATTGATAGTACATGGACACATCCATGCAGAAAGAGGGGGGCAGCCTAGTGGTTAGGGCGTAGAGCTTGGAATCCTGAGGTTGCGAGTTCGAAAGTTGAACTGGTCTGGGTCCACAAAGCATCTTCACATGTTCGCAGCATTTGGGTTCAAACACTTTCGGGTTCCCACATATGCAACAAGTTTCCCAAAACGCCAGCAAGCCATTAAAGACAAGTTCTGAACACTTAAAGTCGAAGGGAAATCATATTTAAATGTCAAATCATTCTGGCTTAAACATGTATATAAATGTTCTCTTTATCAGACCATATTGTCCCAAAATTTAGAAAATTTCTATAAAAAAAAGAAAAGAAAAATCCTGTCTTAATTCTGTGTTTTTTTTCGTTATCTTATGCAGGCCAGTTATAAGTCAGCCTGAACACCGAAATTCGGCCAATAATATATCAACGGTCACCAACTTAGTGCTACTTGGTCCCAATGGAATTTCCCATTGGGACCAAGTAGCACTAAGTTGCTAACTGGTTAGCAAGATGCTTCCTACAAACCGGCTACAACCAAAGAGCTTGCAAACCTTCCGCCACAACAATCCCGCCCCCTTGATAATCAACCAATCGCATTCATTTTTTTCACTCGTGTAAAGTCGGGCACCACCTGGGAGAATTCGGAAATGCAACGGAGACCTTAGATTGACATGCGCTCGAGTGGTGGATGGGCAGTCATTCGGTTTACATTGCATGTGATAACATTGTCCAGAATCTACACAACGATCTTCGCGTGAACCGCGCTAAGTTTAAATGGGTCTAAACGGGTCAGGTTCTTTTAATGCAAAAGCTGAAATATGAGTCCGTTTTTACTCAAGTGTATTTTCCTCTTGTTTACAGACAATTTCCTAACAGAATAAGATGATATTTGTTTAAATTGGGGAAAACAAGTCCAATATGTTACACACTCGAAAAAATGATTCAAGCCCCTCTTTGAGGAGACGAAGCTTCTTGCATTTTAACATACCGCACCTAGCGTAAATGGTTCCAGAATTATATAGTAATATTTAATTGATGAAACACAATATGTAAGAATTCTATGCAGTTTATTTCTATAGCTCCAATTCACAT